CTCTCTTTCCCTATTTATTTATTTGATAATTTTGCAAGACCTTTTCCCTTGCAAAATTTTAAAGCTCCTCTGCACTTGTAAAATTAAATTCTTATCAATACACTTCTGAATTAACGTGTCTCTGGTGACCAGAAATCTTTGCTGCTGTTTCAGCCACACTTTACAACAACAGGCCCATGCTGTCACACGTGAGGATTTATGTAAATTCATGGAGACCATCACAGTTTCACGTCTCTTTCCTCATTTCAAGAACCCTGATTTTAACCCTGCTTGACAGATTAGGAAACTGTCAAGCTCAGGCCCGTGAATCGATTTAACTGAGGTTACCCACCACGAGTGGCTGAAACAGGGTGGAAGCTGAGTCCATTAGACATTATTCGGTGCTTCCGAAAGGCCATTGGGGGAAAGCTTTGGTTTCAGGACTGAGTGGGCAAAAATGCAGCCCACTTGCCCCCTCTGGGTCGATGGCAGATGTCACTCATTGATCATAGCTCTGTCTCCTGGCATGTGTGGCCTCTGCTCAGACCCCTTAACGTAACACCCCCAGCAGCCACATACATGTTCGCTTTCCAGGCTTAAGGCAGTTTAAGTTAGGTTTCTCTTCCTGTTCATGTAAATACGCCTGGAGGATGCACTCTTTCAAGGGCCAGTCCCCCTTTCCATAAGCTCTACAGCTGCCTGAAGATTCCAAATATCAACGTCAGAAGGACCCAGGGACCTGCTGCTGAAGAGCACACGTCCCCCAGGGCCACGCACCGCTTACCGTGCGTGGCGGGAGTGAGACCCACGTCGCTGTTAGAACCCCATCTCTCGGCCTCCCAGAAGAAAGTCCTAGGTTCCCAGCGCCATGAAGCTGCCACAGAAACATTCTCTGAAATCCCTCTTGGGCTTCCAAATCCGTGTATCCAGTTCTGTCCAGGACAGATTCAGTGGCATCTCCCCCTGGAGGTGGCCAAGCCCGAGGCCATCAGCACGCCTCCGAGCTGCTCGTCTTCCTCTCACATGGGAACCAGCTCACGAGTCGCTCAAGCCACAAGCATGGGAGAGCTGTTGACTTCAGCCTCCTCTTGTCCCCCAGCTCTGCGGCCACGTCACCAAGCCCTTCTGCCTTCGTGGACAAATGCCTCCCTGATCTATTCCGTTTCTGCTCCCCACTTTGAATGTTATGCCTTCCCCCATTTCACCTCCTCCAGGCCCTTCCCCACATGGCATGTTTCTCAAATGCACGACTGACCATGTCACTCATCTACCAAGACCTCTTCAAGCAACTTGCTCATTGAGTCATCCACAAATCGGCACGGGGCATGTGCTGGACAATGGAAATATGAGGGAGAAGCAGAAACAGACATGGCCCCGGGCCTCATGAGGTGGACATTCGACTAGAGAGGGACAGATAGGGACCAAATAATCCGACGAATTACATAAAAGTATAAATGTGGTAGAGTATAATATCCGGTCTTCTGGGTAATTGTAATGAGATCTCTGAACCGGTCTGAGAGCCAGATATTGGGACTGAGGTGTCCCAGCCCTTCTCCATTTGCACCGGACCCTCTGCTATTCCTCTTTCAACACTGAGTTAGGTGACACCTCCTGACTCCCTCAGTCTCCCTCAGGGACCCCCGCTCTCTCTATGGTCGCACTGACCACACTGCTTTATAATTTTCCATTTTCACATCTGTATTCTCCCACTAGACTATGAGTGCTTTGAGAGTAGGGGACCTTCTCTTTCCATCTGTGTGACTCTGGCTCTCAACCCCGGCCATACATGAAACCACATGGGGGAGCTTTGAAAGCATTCCGATTCCTAGGTCCTTCCCACAGACAATTTCACGGAATCTTGGAGGGGCGGCTCCGACACAGGTTTTTAAAGCACCCGCTCCTGGCCCCCAGTGATGAATGTGCAACCAGAGCTGAGGACGTCAGGCAGAGCCCCGGCATCTAGCACAGTGCGGACACACAGCTTTTTGTCAAGACCTAAAGGGAAGTACCTGCCGTCTCCCTCCTGTTATCTCCACCTGCCTCCCACGTCTGATGAGGTCAGATCCCACCCCGATAGGCTTTTGTCCATGACACGGATCACGGCTGCCAGTTCACACTTGTTGATGCAGTTCATTCATTATTGCCTATCTCTCCCACTAGACTTCCAAGATATCACAAAGGGAGAGAGACTATCAGGGCAATAGTTGGAGTAGATGCATCTTTCCCCTTTCCTCCCAGTGATCTCTTATTGCAAGTCTCACGTGCCCTCATTATGTCCCCAGGCAGGATCCAGAAGCATTCATTCCCACGTGTGTCTTTCCAGACAATGGACTAGCCTGCGGTCTGCTCAGAGCAAGGGATGCATTCAAGGTTCTTGTTTCTGACAAGCTAAGAGCTTATGAGGTAGGTGTCCCAACGGCTAGGACAGGTGATGTCTTCTCAAAAAGTTCTACATAAAAACAGCCCTAGAAGCTTTCAACTCTCACCATATCAGTGCAGGTGTGGGGAGAAGCCCCCGTGAAGAGAGATCATGGAGCTGCACGTGGAAAATCTATATCCTTCTCCGCACCCAGCCCTGAATCGGTCTCTTGCTGAACCTGGCAGTGGGTACTCCCCGGACAGATTATACAAAGTATTTAGTACGTGGGGAAAGGGTGGAGTGGATGAGAAACCCGTGGGCTCTGGAATCAGACACACCTGATTGTCACTTAACCTCCTACAACTGTTTCTTAAGTGGGGACAATATAGACTACCCTCAGGTTTATCGCGGAGAATAAGTGATACGAGACATATAAGCCACACAGCACACTTCTGGAGTACAGTAACTACTCAATGCGTGTACTTTGTCTCCTGGCTTATGGAAGAACGGGATTAAATCCAACAGACATTTATGGAGCACCCATTCTGTGCCAGGCAACCTGCTAAGCACAAACAAGGCATTCATCCAAACCAACCACCCTTCTCCCCCTCCTCCTTCTCTCCTCACTTCCCTCTACCCACCGTGTGTGGTAAGGGCCTCTTTTGCCCCATGAAACGGCACGAGAAGGGCCCTTGATCTGCTTGCGATGAAGCGCTGACTAGGGAAGGCATCCTTGAGGATGTGCTCTTGAGCATCTCAGGGGAGGGAATTACGTGGTGCACAGCAAAAACGGCCATCACGTTGGCAGATCCTCCCACCAACAGGTGGAGTCTACTTCCCCACCCTCTGAACCTGGCCCGACCTTGTGACTGGCTTGGACCAGTAGACTACAGCAGAAGTGATCTGACGCGAGTCCTGAACTTGGCCTTGCAGAAGTTCTACAGCTTCTGCTTTCAGGCTCTTGGAACCCTGCTGCGTCCACGTGAAGAAGGAAGCCCAGGTTAGCCTCCTGGAGGACGAGACACCCCAGGCCACCTACACATGTTCACCACAACCAACAGCCTGCTCATTGCCAGATACTGAGTGAGGCCATGCGAGACCCTCTAGCCATCAGCTGACCTGCCAGCCGACCCCAGATGCTGCGTAAGCCTGGCCGAGACCAACCAATCCAGTACAAACCACAAGAGCTGTCCAGCTGACCGGGAATCAAGAGA